GTCGGGACGGAAGAATGGGCCGGCGAAGGAAGCACGACGAGGACCGTCAGGACCGCCGGGGCCGCCTGGACCCCAAGGACCACCGGGACCGTCAGGGCCGCCAGGACCGCTGCTGGGACCGCCAGGACCGCCAGGGCCCCAAGGGCCACCGGGACCATCAGGACCGTCGGGGGCCCAAGGACCACCGGGACTGTCGGGACCACCAGGACCGCCAGGACCACCAGGGCCCCAGGGACCGCCGGGACCGCCAGGACCGCCAGGGCCCCAAGGACCACCGGGACCGCCGGGACCGTCGGGGTGAGGAGGGCCGAACATGGGGTAGAGGAAGGACTGGGGCACAACGAACTCATTCCCCTGCGAACCACACACACACACACACAAATAAAGAAAAAAGACGATAGAAGGAGAAAAGTTATTTGCGGGTTGCAAGGGCAGAAATATATTTTAGGCGACTCAAACAGTGGAGGAGGAGGACGGCGATGGAGAGGGAGGAGTATTTGCAGACTGTGGGTCGTAAGGACCAAGAAAGACGGGGAGTAGAAGCAGACGTTGATTCTAAACAGCAAGACGGTGAAACCAATTACAGAAGTAATAGAATTTGCAGGAAGAAAGGGGGATTCGTGCTGTTACCGAAAACGGAGGAGTGATGGGAGCGGGATCCGGATTGGGCTCCGTAGCAGCTTCGCCAGAAGCTTCCGCAGCGATAGCTGACGTGGCGAGCGCCGGGAGAAGCACCAGAAGCGCCAGCATCCACCATGATGACGTCAGGTGAGCCATAGAAGGGGAGCCAAGCCTGAATCACTCATCAGGGGGAAAGTGGGGTAGCGAGCAAGAATACGTTGGGAACGGGTAAGTTGAACGCTGAGCGTAAAACAGAAAACGGTTAAGCTGAATGCTGAGTATAAAACGGTTGGAGACGGACTGAAAGTCGAAGAGCCTTTGAGAAGATGAACACGGAAATATAGTTGACATCATGCGAAGAAAATCTGAACGCAAATTCGAGACGATAGCTGGAGCTTCTGGCTTGCTAGAATGCTTCCAGAAAAATACTAGTTCGGAAACGCGAAGGTCTGGGAAAATAGCGGGAAATTCACCGTTGAGCTTTAATTTTTTGACCACGAGAAGCGTTGGCAGAGAACGCGAACAGAATCAAGCACCGCCGAAGCGCTTCCTCCACAAAGAAGTTGATAGCCCGCCAAACTAGAAAGAACTACTCCCTCCAATGAAGGAAAGAACGAATATATACAAGATGGTGGAGCTCCGAATATAAGCGTCGGTCAAATTGGCGGTCCCGCTCTTGGCCCTAGGATCAGTCAACGGGGAGCCAGTCAAGCGAAAGCATTTTTCGGAATTCGAGGAATTGCAGCCATGTACGAGTGGGAGAGGAAGGAGAGAAGGCAGGGAAGGAAATGCGAACCCTATACACCGAATTTGATGTTACAATCGCACTGGACTCCTGATACATTTAACTCTCCTTGTCGTCATCAATCAGGAAAAGATTAACAGCAATATAATTTCTCAGTGAAACTGTAGACTTACCCTGCGCTCATGCACACAGACGATACGTGAACTGTACCACTGGTGACGGGTAAACTCATGATGTGCTTGCATCTGATTGGGAACTTCACGAAATCGCTAAACGATAAAAAACCATAAAACGAGTAATTAGTGCGCAGCTCCTGATGTCATGAATTTGCTAAGGACGTGTCACGGTTCGCTTCTGATTGACCCGATCAAAGTCGATCAATAAATTCCGGGAAGCTAGGGTGGCGATTTCAGGCAATCGGGGGCAATCACTTGATCGCGATCAGTTCATCGCCCAACTCGATCAACTGCCTAAATAAGCCCAATCAAGCACAACCCCACACAATCACCGACGATCAGTTGATTGCATTGTCTTGGGGTACCAAGCGACGCTATCGAAAAGTTACGATATTGTCCTTAGTTTCGTGAAGCTCTAACCACCCTCTGCAGTGTTTCTGAGCATCTTTTAACACGAAATTACATGGAAACATTAAAATTCGGTAAGCCAGGCCGAGGACTTCGCCTTCGCCAAAGTGGGCGCGAAATTGTTTGGAAAGGGTGACACGCTTGCCAAGCACCCTCATAGAATATTCGAGGAATTTCTTCTCTGATCGGGCGGCGCGAGCACAGTAATTGGGGGCACCCCGATCCGATCAGACCCGACCAGATCACAGCCGATCATAGGCAAACCGTGACACGTCCTAAGGGATGTGATGGTTGCGCCAGGGATTGGCATCCGTATCACCTTGATGATCTTCTGCCCGAAGAAAGACGTTGACTGGGCAGATATGAACATCGTAGGAGGAACACGCCCATTTTCGACTTGTGGTTACTATGTTATAGCGAGAGAAAAACAAACTTCGCAAAAACGTGCTGCCCGAGTCGGAAGTTTCGAACCATCGGAGAAACCCGTCAGTCAACACGGAAACCCACGACGGGTCAACCGCCAATTACCCCTACTTCCTCCTTTTACTGCGATGTCTCTTGGTGAGGATATCCTCGTAATTCTGCTGTTTCACCTTCAGTTTTCGTGACCATGGAATGTTCTTCCAACACATACATGATGATATCGAATGCACTCCCTTCATAATATGTAAATCCACATTTAGCTTTCTCAAATCCCATCAATAACTACCACACCACAATGCGGTACCGGACAGAACTATAAATAGGACTAGTAGCTCCTCCCCCTGATCACAAGACCCATAATAGCTATGGATGGAAGCTTTATTGAACTCTTTACTCCCATGCTGCATTTCAGGCATCCATGTTGTATTTGGCCTAACACCAGCTTGCCGCCATGACAATCTGAGCCTCGAGGCCTCCCTGCCTCAGGTTCTCCGCAAGCGTATTGAACACGCCCTGGCCAATCTTCTTGATAATGGTAGTCATGATTCCGGCCATGCTCCTCAGGTCCTTGATACTGGTCACGCCAACACCCAATGCAGAGTTGTAAAACTGAACTGCAGAGTCTGTGACAGCAGCCTTGCACTTGATCCAATCCAGAAGATAAGTCTTCACGCAAGCAGAGTTTTTGTTGTTAGCAGCCATAAGGACGTATTCCTGGAACCTTTGACTAGCTCCTGGGGTTCCGGGGCCCCAGACAGCAAATACACTGCTCTTGACGTCATCCGAGTTCTTGACGTTGTTCCACAGAGTCTGTGCGCTGCAGTCGTCCTTCCTCCACCACATATACCATCTGCACATGACGGACAGAGCGGTAGTACAGTGTCACATTCACGAATTAAGCATGACTATGTACCACGGATTGAAAGTTAGCTCAAAGGTCGAATGCTGGACTAGAAAATCGAACTTAAGTGCTAGAATCCGCACCGAACCTGTATTACGACCTGCTGGCGTAGCACGGAGGGGGCGAAGTATCGCATGCATCGCAGGAGCACGTTTGCGCGACGGTAACAGAGGCTTGGATCGCGATAGCGACGACGAAGCAGATTCGAGCGAGCGAAGGAGCCATCAAGTGCGAAAAAAAGGTCGAAAGTTGACACTAGCGAGTCTACTGAAGGGGAGGAAGCAGGTGATCTAGAGCGGATTTTAGGAGCTTTGTTTTGGGCTGGGCTTGTTTGGCGTATTACCGGACTGGATAGCTCGCCTTTTATAACCAAGCTTGTGGGCAACGACAATCGCCTAGGCGTCGTGTGTATACGCCAAGGTGGTTCACGCAGCATGCGCGTGTCACGGAGCATCTGGCGACGACGACGAAGCTTGCGATGCAACATCCTGGAGGGAAGAAGGGGACGTAAGAGAGGGAAACCTGAGCGGACAATTATTGGTGTACGATATATTCCACGGGCCTGGACTGCGATTTGACTTCGTGTCGGCCCAGCATGACTAAACAGGATGTCTAAGCCGATGCGCCGCTTGTATGGCACAATTATTGGTCCACCCAGTCCGCCATAGGAGGCGACGTAGAGCAACGACGTCTCACCCCCAGCTGGTTCTCACGACGCAAATCAATTTCAGCGTAAACCAAATGGTTTTGTGCGATCAAGTAGCAGCCAGTACGGTACTTGTACCTGTGATCCTGCAGGAAGTTAGCACATTGGCTCCGCACAGCTTTTGCATCCGCGGAATCTGCGCTTTGCGCTGAGGCTGCGTTTGGGGTGGGGTGCAGAAAGAACGGGGGGCGTGGCCTTGGGGGGAATGATGTGGCGGAAATCAGGGGAGAAGCCGTGATGCCTTTCACTTCCTCAGACGCAGGGGTGGGCGGAGCGGACAATTCGAACTGCGATCTCATTTTCCCAGTGCGGGTTTGCGAATGCAATCTTTTCGGGCAGAACCACTCGGCTGCCCGTGTTTAGGGTCGGGGCTCCCCGTGTTTAGGCTTGGGGCTCCCCTAATCGCATGCCATCCATAAGGGGTTTATTTTTTTCTGACCGCGGGCAGATTACGACCCATCAGCTTCTTCCAGGCGGACTGTTAGGGATCGCATTCGCGAACCGCGCTGGCTTAATTAGATTGCAGCTGAAGTTGTCCCGTGGGCGGAGCTTCCCGACACACCAAACGTCAGCCTCTGCTTCGGGTGGGCGGGTCATGCGAACGAAAGGACCTCCTCGACACGAGGGAATGGTGCGGGGCTTGTGCGAGTCCCTCGCGACATTTGTCGCGAGTGTCGCGAGTTACGGACCAAAACCAGCCTGACGGAATGATGGCGAGTAACGAAACTAGGCAGTGTGATGATTCGCCAAAGATCGCCTCGCAACCGACAACCGCACTCCCGTTCCCGCTCAAACAGCTGCTTCGATGCCGTTAGAATTAGAGTCGCACTGATATTTCCGGACTGATGAATTCAGGAGTTGTTGTTTTGTTGAAGTAAAACTTCATCAACATCAATAACTAAAATAATTTAAATAAAGGCCTAATCAAGCACCATGTCATAGCAGCTCAGATTGACTACAAGAACTGCATAAGACAACCTGGCATGCATAAAAATGAACCTATACACAAAAGTTGTGGGTTTAGTATGCGAGTGCGCCTGCTTCTTGAAGGATGGGGATGAGATCCCTGTTGTAGTTCATGCTGATCACGTCTGTAGCGCAGAGAAAAGGAGGTAGAGACAGAAGGGAGATGGCACATGTTAAGAACACACATGGCATATGTTAACACGTACCGGGGAAACGGGTGCATGAGATGAGACCCACCACTACGCAGCCAACTAAGCGTAGGTTGATGAATGAGGAGGGCATAGAATGTGTCACAATCATACTCGCTCACAATCAAACTCGCTACAAGCAGCACTAAAACAAGAATTGCTTCACACATTGGAATGAACAAGGATACTACTCACCATCTAGACCGCCGACGAAGCGTCCATTGACGAACAAAGCGGGTATCGTATGCGAACCAATCATACTCGCCACAGCGTCCTCCAGTTCCTCGCCGTCATACTCTTTATCGAGTTCGCAAACCTGGTGGGAAAGAAAGATAGTAAATTGTGGAGCACAATACCGAAGAGGAGGGATATGTAAGTGGGAACACAGAACACAGAAAGCGACAGGCGGGCAGGGCAGCACTACGAGGAATAGAGTCATAGTAGTTGGAGGGGAGCACTACTAGGAATAGGATCACAGACTACTGGGGGGAGGGGGGGGGAGGGGAGGGGGTAAAGGGAAGGAAGGGGGGAAAGGGAAGGAAGGGGGGAAAGGGAAGGAAGGGGGGAAAGGGAAGGAAGGGGGGAAAGGGAAGGAAGGGGGGAAAGGGAAGGAAGGGGGGAAAGGGAAGGAAGGGGGGAAAGGGAAGGAAGGGGGGAAAGGAAAGGAAGGGGGGAAAGGGAAGGAAGGGGGGAAAGGGAAGGAAGGGGGGACAGGGAAGGAGGGGAGGGAGCATCACTACTGATTGGGTAACATAGTATTAGGAGGGGAGCTCTATTGAGCAGTTAGGGTTACACACAGCACAGCACTGGCTTGACTTACACTGGGTCGCACGCCGAGTCCGTGCAGCACGCTCTTGACCTTCATGGACGAGGGGTCGTAGGATTTACTGCAAGAGGTCAACAAGGGACAGAAAACAGGGAACAGACACGCACGGGAAAAACAAGTCAGCAAAGGAATAAAAAAGACGAGAGAAGATAAAGAAACCGTGCAGCACGCTCTTGACCTTCATGGACGAGGGGTCGAAGGATTTATTGCGGAAGGTTGAGAGGGTACGGACAAGCACGGAAAGAAAGGAAAAGACACGAGAGGGCATCAGGATGCCGTGAGGAAGAACACATGAAAGGGAGGGGTCAAATGATTCACAGCATGAGGACGAGACCGACGGACGGGCACGAAAAGAACACGAGAACATTGTTGGAAGGCGCGCCGGAGTGGTTCTGTAAGTTCGAAGTGATATGGCCGTGTCGAGAGGGAATCCATCGTAAAGGTGTGCGATACGCAGTGTCGAGAGGGAGGCTGTGAAACCGTTTTGAAAATGACTTAACCGGAGCATCTTACCTGAATAACATGACTCGGTTTTCCTCGACCATCATATGCGTCCGCTGCATCGACTTGGGACTCGCCTTGCTCGCCTCGGCGCCCATGCTGACTGTTTTGAAAGGTGCGAGATTTTTTAACGGCTTGTTTTTTGAAGTGTTGATCGACGGACGGTTCTGCTTCTGCTTCGCCGCCTGTCCTATGCGTCTACAGCAAACTCGCTAACTTTCTGAGATTTTTTCGCCGGAGATTTGCTGAACTATTACTTGGTAAACCGCGGTAGGCTGTGGCAGTGATTCAGGGTATCACTAGAAACGGTGGAGGTGGAGGTAAGAAGAATCTCAATTGACATAAGTGGTAGTTTCGAGAGGTTTCACTTCCAGATTTGGGTGGATACAAGATGAGGGAGGAGGGAGAGTCGCGTGAAACAGCCAAGGCCAAATCAACTCATCAACCTGACATTTCAAAGCGCACTGACCACAGCCGAGCCGTCAGCTTCCCAGGGCCGACGCGAGCGAGATTATCGCGGCTTGGAAACACATCCGAGCCTCTGAAATAGACATGCGCGTTCTGGCATGTGTTTGGTGGGTCTGCGGGCAGGTACGCTATCTGCTTCCATACTGTAAGAAACGAGGGATGCTTTTATTGGGAATGTCACACCTCCCAAAAAGCTCCATTCCCAGAGTTATCGACGCTTAACCACGGGAGGGCGTTAGATGTGTAACTATTTTTTCGCACTATGAAACCTCACATTTGAGGTCTGCGCTTTTGGGAAACCCCAAGCGAAAGGATGTCCTTTTATTTCAAACCAGGGACGCAGGGCCTCCGAAAGAAACCTGCCAGGACGGTTTGCAGAACAGGTTTGGACCAAAGAGCTGAGGCTCGGTAACAGCCTTCCACATAATCACCAGCCGCGTCATTTTAGTCACAACCACCGCGACGCCAGACCATAACAGTTCGGATCTGTGCTTTATTAAGAATTTCGGTTGTCCCACAAAATCCGTCTACACTAGCTGAACACATTCAGGGCTGCGTAACCACATACAGAGTGACTAGTCTAAATGGATCTGGAGCACCCCATTGTCCATCATTTCCTGATTAAAGTTTGCAATTACAGCATGTACAATTGTTTATAAGAGGTATAAATAGCTCTCAGAGACCACTTGCTGCAAGCATATATAAACAATGCCATGTGTGTTTCTTTTGTTCCTTGCCATTTGGGTGCTCGACTCGAGCATGATGGCTACAACTTTGATCAGTCTAACCCTTCAAATCTTCTTGGGCTCATGAAGCACCTGCACATGGACACAACAGCCCAATGAACACTTGGTGAATGACTGATAGTAGCACAAAGGATAATACTTTATCATACACATGGCATGCATACTAAATAACCTCACCTGGCCGTGGTGCAAGATGTACTGCCGCTGGTGCTCTTAGTGAGTTCTATCCTCGCTATAGATCGAATCGCTGTGCTGCCTATGTCAAAGGCCAGCATCGGCTTCCTGTTGATGCATGCAGAACGTCGATAAGCTATCGACTGGTTCACTGGGGTTCCAGGACAAGGCCTGCAAAGAAACAGGGAATGGAGAGCAGAGGAAGATTTTGAGAGGAAGGGGAGTATGAGATGGAGGGAAATGAGAAAAGGGAGGAAACTAAAGAGGAAGGACGGAATTGGGAGGGGAGGATTGAGAGGGATCTAGGAGGACTGAAAGGAAGGAAGGGATTGAAAGGAAGGAGGGAACTATGAGGAAAGAGGGGACTGAGAGGAAGGAGGCGATTCATATTAAGGACGGGACTGAAAAGAATGAGGGAATTGAAAGAGGTGTATGAGGAAGGGACAGAGATATAGGAAATGCTCACGCTTCAGGGTTATTAGACACCACGCTCCATTGCTTATCCGGGGAGTTTGGCGGAGTATCCATTATAACAGTCAGCCCTCCCGTGCACCCCCCCACATCCAGCATCATCAGCTGCACGGATGAAGGGTAGAAGAATGCAGGGCCTATTTCCGACCGTTGGATCGTCACCCGGTACGAGAACCCGGCCAATAGCGTCGCAGTGACCTGCCGCAGAAGCGGCCGAGACGCGCCGTACCGCTTGGGGAAATCGTCATCGTAATCGTTATCCGATCCCACCGAGACGAACGTCGCGTTATCCTGTAACCGCATGAACGTAACATAGCTGTAGGGGCGGCGATTCTTGTCCTTTCCTAGATTCGCGGTCTGATCCTTGGTGACTGATTCGTTGTAGAAAAGAGCGAAGGATCGGAAGCAGGCGGCAGGTCCGGTGCAGGTATGGGCGGACCAGGAGGGTTGGTAGGAGCAGGCAAAGGAGGGGGAGGAGCGGAGGGAGAGAGGCGGGAGAATAGGGTCGAACAGAGCAACTGCGAAGCCGAAACCAGCGGCAGTTGAAGCTGGTCTAGTAGTAGCGTCGGTGATGCTGCTAAAATTGCTGCTTCTGGTGTTACTTGTGGTGGCAGTGCTGCTTCCTAGCAGAGATCCATCGAGGTCCCAGAGGGCATAGAAGTTGGCGAGTTGTGCACCGGATCGAATGTAGCCAGAGGCCTGGAGTGGAGGAGACGAGAGAGGGAGGGTGGGGCGGGGAAGAAAGAGGGAGGTGAGAGAAAGAGCATGGTTAGAAAGGGGTTGCGGACGGTACAGTTCATAATCTAGAGGGCATAGAAGTTGGCGAGTTGTGCACCGGATCAAATGTAGCCAGAGGCCTGGAAAAGAGGAAAGGCGAGCAGGGAAGAAGGGAGAAGGGAGATGGGAGTGGGGAGAATGGAGATGGGGAGGAGGCAGAGACATACAACGAGGAAGGCGAGGTAAAGGAGGAGGAGAGAAGAGGGGCCTTTTCCATTAATAGTCCAGTTGAGATCGCCCCAGAGAGCATAGAAATTGGTTGAGCTAGGATTGGTGGAAATAGTGAGTGTGTGACAGATGCATGTTTGAGGGTGATTGGCAAAACGACATGCATGTGCGACTACTATGCATGCATAGTGTGAATGCGTGAATATCTAGTGTGTGACTGATACATGCGTGATCACACACGTGTAGTGGGTGATTCTCAAATCAAACGTCTCACCGGGTTGGGCGAGGCCCAGAGCCTGTTAGTGTCATTGGCAAAGCGAAGGCCCTGCGAGTGAGGTGTGGGGGTGGGTGGGTGCGAAAGAGAGTGAGGAAGAGAAGGTGAGGAAGAGAAGGTGAGGAAGAGAAGGTGAGGAAGAGAAGGTGAGGAAGAGAAGGTGAGGAAGAGAAGGTGAGGAAGAGAGTGTGAGGCCCAGAGCCTGTTGGTGTCATTGGCAAAGCGAAGGCCCTGCGAGTGAGGTGTGGGGGTGGTAGGGGTTGAAGGGGAGGGTGAGAAGGAGAGAGTGAGGCTCAAAGCCTATTGGTATCATTGGTAAAGCAAAGGGCCTGCACGTGTGGCGTGGGGGTGGCAGGTGCAGTGAAGGATGTTGAGGGAGGAGACGAAAGGTGGAGAGGAGACGAAGAGGTGGAGAGGAGACGAAGAGGTGGAGAGGAGACGAAGAGGTACAGAGAGGAGGAAACAGTGGCAGTCGAAATTTTGTGGCGCCTCATAAGTCGCTTCTTTTTAAATACATATATGTATATATATATAAGTATTAATAAGTATCAAAAGGAAGGTGTGGTTGCTGCAAGGCGGTGTGGACAGCGGAGGTCAGAGGCGGCTGGGGATGTCATCATGTCATGCCATTGTCCCTCACTGATGATATTCAAACGGCGGAAATTTACATCAAGTTAACGATTTCTTCATTCATTTTCTCGTTACAGGAAAAATTTACCTCGACAGCAGTGGAGGGAGTCCAAAATCCACCATACGGGTTAGTGGTGAGCATTATAGCGGGGCTGGCAGCTCTGCACGTGCCAAAGGACGAGAACCTGAGGTGAGGAGTCACAGAAGGGGTATGGGGTGAACGGGGGGAAGGGGTACAAGGGGGAGGGGGTGTACGCGAGGGGATACAGGGAGGGTGTTACAGGAAGGGGTGGGTGGGCTCATGAGTGAGCATTATAGCGGGGCTGGCAGCTCTGCACGTGCCAAAGGACGAGAACCTGAGGGGTCAGAGAAGTGGAGAATGGGGAGGCGAAGGGGGGTGAGATGGGGTGGGGGGTATAGGTGTGGGATACAAGGGGAGGTATAGCGGGGCTGGCAGCTCTGCACGTCCCCGCAGCTCTGACGAGAAGGCGAAGGGGGGTGTCAAAGGGCGAGAACCTGAGGGGGTATAGGATGGGAAGAAGGCAAAAGAGAGGTTACAGGGGGGGTGGGTTACAGACTGGGGTTGGGGTTCAGATTTGCAAATGCAGAGGTGGTAACCCCAATGTTACCATATTATTATCAACCTCGAGAGCAACCCTACCACGAGTTGGTGATCTTATTTGGCTCCAACAGGTCTCGAGGTGAGATCTGAGTGATCTGATCACCACACCGAGAGTGAACACCGTGGGGGTTCAGGTTACGAACACAGAGGTGGTAACCCCAATGTAACCTTACCACGAGTTGGTAACCCTACCATGAGTTTGTGATCTTATTTGGCTCCAACAGGTCTCGCGGCGATATCTGTGTGATCACTACACCCAGAGGCGCCTCAAAGCTCCCAAAATAATATTGAGACGTGCTACTAGCGAGTACGTTGCTGCTGCTGCCACTGCTGCCGCTGCTGTAACTGTCACTGTAGCTGCTTCTGCCTCTGCTGCTGCTGCTGCTACTGCTGCCGCCACTGCTGCTGCTCCTCCTCCTCCTCCTCCCAATGCTGCTCCCACGGCCCCCAAGCATACCACTTCCTGATTCCCTCCCCCGAGGAAACCCATACACCTCCTTGACATTCCAACGCTGCTGCCTGTGATTTCCCCAATGCGTCCACTCCGGCTGATGCTTCTGTGTCTGCATCTGCTGGTGCATATGCTTCGCCACATGATGCCTGTGTCCCACGTGCTGCTGATCACCCATAAGCAGCCTGTGCCCCACATGCTGTGGATCACCCATAAGCATGCTGCTACCCACATGATGCATCTGCCGGTGCATATGCTTCGCCACATGATGCCTGTGTCCCACGTGTTGCTGATCACCCATAAGCAGCCTGCTACCCACATGCTGCTTCTCATAACCCAACCTATGCGCAGCAGGCACTGTTCTTTCCTCTATCTCTTCCAGTTTCCTTCCCCCTTCCTTCCGCCAGGACCCCCATCCCAGCAGCATTCTCCCCTTCCGTCCTTGCCTCACTCTCCCCAAACTTCCCCTGCTGCTCCTCATCCCAGTCCTCTCCGATTTCCTCCCCACTTTCCTTCCCCCTTTCCTCCCCCCTCCCCGCCCCCCTCCCCGCCCCCCTCCTCGCCCCCCTCCCCCATCCCTGCTGTCGCTGCTGCTGCCACCACCACTGCTCCAAAAGCTGCTTTGATCTGTGCCGTCCGTTGGGTTAGGATCAACGGTGCCGACCGTTGGATGTGGATCAAACAAAGACAGACCCAATGAACGGTCCACAGGCAGTGACACCCAATCTAACGGCTCAGATTCTCCTGCCTCCCCCTCCTCACTCCCTATATTTTCCCCCTCGCTATGCCCTCTCACTCCCCCTCCCGGCTCCTCCCAAGCCTCTGCCGCAAAACCCAGACCTGCAGGCTTGGCAACAGCCCTGGTAGGCTTGGAAGAACTGGCAGCAGCGTTGCCGAGCCTGTCTTCTAGGCCCGTTCCCACCAAGCCTGGGGCTTGCCAGTCCGTTGTAGGGCCAAAGTCAGGTGTGTGAAAGTCAGAACCCATGGCTGGTAGTTGTGCTGGTGTCGCTGCTGCTTGTGCTGCTGCTGTGAGTGAAGCTGCCTTGGCTCTGCTGTGGTTGAGAAAAGGAGGGCGGGGTTGGGGGAGAATTGGGGGACAAGAGGCATGGAAGGTTGGGCAGCTTCACTCACAGCAGTTTTGAGACGTTGATCAAATCACTTTGGAGAATTCCCAAAAGCGATTCCAACATGGTGTTTTGAGACATCTCAAAACACTTCTTCAATCACATGAAAGGTGCGAGTTTTGAGACTTTGATCAAATCACTTTGGAGAATTCCCAAAAGATATCCCAACATGGTTTGGCAGAGAGTTGGGGGAGAGCGACATGGAAGGTGCATGAAGAAGTGTTTTGAGTCGTCTCAAAACGCTTTAAGACTTTGGTCCACAACAACCGCCCTGTCCGTCTTGACATGACTTCTTAAACTACCCCCCTCACATCACCCACCCTCACCACAGCAGTTTTTCCCGTACTGCACCGCACCGCACCACTGCTCACCTCCCTCCTGCAGGGCAGCTCTGGGTGCGGCCGATGAACCGGCATCGGGCCACAACGACGCCCGTGTCCGTCTTGACGTGGATGGCGAGGCCAGTATCAGCAAGCAAACCCCTTTGCACCCTCCCTCACCACTGCTCACCTCCCTCCACCTGGACAGGCTTGGGTGCGGCCGATGAACCGGCACCGATCCACAACGATACCCGTGTCTGTCTTGATATGTATGGAGAGACCATTGTCGATGAATACAGACGATTGGATGGTCATGAGACGAGTGATGTGCAGAAACATGCTGGGGAGGCAGGAGGGGGGGTTGGGGTGGGGGAGAGAGTGGGGGTGGAAAAGTTATAGTCTTGACGTGGATGGCTAGGCCGTTGTCAATGAATGTGGAGGATTGGATGGTCATGAGACGAGTGATGTGCAGAAACATGCTGGGGAGGGGAGGGGAGGGGGGAGGAGAGAGTGAGTGGGGTGGGAGAGGTATAAGAGGAGGAGAGAGTGGGTATGGGGAGCATGTAGTCTTGATGTGGAAGGTGAGGCCATGACTGATGATGACGAGAGAGGAGTGGATGGTCATGAGATGCGTGATGAGCAGAAGCATGCTGGGAGAAGGGGCCTTGGGGAGGGGAGGGGGATGTTAGACGGGGAAAGAGTGGGTGTGGGAAGCAGGAAGATTGTTATGTGGATAAAGAGGGAGGAGTGGATGGTCATGAGATGCGTGATGAGCAGAAGCATGCTGGGAGAAGGGGCCTTGGGGAGGGGGTTGTTGGGGTTGGAGGGGGGAAGAAGGGGAGGGTGGTATGGGAAAGAGCATTGTCTTCACGTGGATGGAGAGGGAGGATTGGACGGTCATCAGACGAGTGTCTGAAAGAGGGTAGGGGGTTTGGAGGAGTTTGAAAGGGGAGAGAGAGGAAGAGTGGTGAGAGCGGGAGAGAGATGGGAGGGGGAGGGGGAGGGAGAGAGTGCGTAAGGGAAAAGAGCATCGTCTGGATGTGGATGGGAAAAGAGCATCGTCTGGATGTGGATGGGAAAAGAGCATCGTCTGGATGTGGATGGGAAAAGAGCATCGTCTGGATGTGGATGGGAAAAGAGCATCGTCTGGATGTGGATGGGAAAAGAGCATCGTCTGGATGTGGATGGGAAAAGAGCATCGTCTGGATGTGGATGGGAAAAGAGCATCGTCTGGATGTGGATGGGAAGAGCATCGCCTTGATGTGGATGGAGAGGGAGGATTGGATGGGAAGAATGTGTCGAGGGATCGCTTCGCTAGTGTTCGTGTGCCAGTGTGTGACTCACCCAACTTCATTGCGGTAGATGAGGAAATTGGATAGGGTCACCTGCACGCATACTCGCACACACAGCAAGAGGGCAGGGGCGCAAAGGGGATAGCTTAAGAGCTGTAGCATAAAAGAGAAATTTTAGGTGTTCCTCTGCGCACACACACTCGGGTGTTCCTCTGCGCACACACACTCGGGTGTTCCTCTGCGCACACACACTCGGGTGTTCCTCTGCGCACACACACTCGGGTGTTCCTCTGCGCACACACACTCGGGTGTTCCTCTGCGCACACACACTCGGGTGTTCCTCTGCGCACACACACTCGGGTGTTCCTCTGCGCACACACACTCGGGTGTTCCTCTGCGCACACACACTCGGGTGTTCCTCTGCGCACACACACTCGGGTGTTCCTCTGCGCACACACACTCGGGTGTTCCTCTGCGCACACACACTCGGGTGTTCCTCTGCGCACACACACTCGGGTGTTCCTCTGCGCACACACACTCGGGTGCACTAACCCTCGCACGAGGAGCGTTAGGGAACATGCCACACACTCCAGGCCACGGGGGAGGAAGAAGAATTCAAACTTGGTTGGTCTGTATGTATGGTGTGGGCTGAATGCTGCTTTGCAACCGGCAAGCAAGAGCACTCACTCGCACACTCACACACAGTAGCACTCACCCTAGCACCAGGAGCATAGGGGAACATGCCGTGGGGGCAGGAGCGGAACCCAAACTTGGTGTCTATGGTATGAGCTGCATGCTTGCTATTGGACCGGCAAGCAAGAGCACTCACTCGCACACTCACACACAATAGCAATCACCCTAGCACCAGGCGCATAAGGGAACATGCCGTAGGGGTAGGAGCGGAACCCAAACTTGGCTGAATGTGCCACATTCCCCGAGTAAAGGCCAAACTTGGTTTCTATAGGACTCATGCCGTGGCACTAGCAAGCAGACCAGCATGCACACTGGCACGCACAGTAGCATGTACACTCACCCTGGCACCAGGAGCGTAGGGGAACATGCCGTGGGGGTAGGAGCGGAAGCCAAACTTGGCCTCTATGGTACGGGGTGCATGCATGCTGTGGCATTAGCAAGCAAGAGCACGACAGTAGCACTCACCCTAGCACCAGGCGCATAGGGGAACATGCCATGGGGGTAGGAGCGGAACCCAAACTTGGCTGAATGCGCCACATTTCCCGAGTAAGTGCCGAACTTGGTTTCAATAGGGTGCATGTTGCGGGCGTTGGGTAGGAGCTGGGATAGACCCCTCATCCCCTCCTTAAGCTCCGTCCAGTACCTGGTTAAGGAGGCGCGAATAACAACAAAGAACATCAGTTGATAACAAGTATGGCACTGGTGTTGATACGAGCTGGGACAGACAGACCCCTCATCACCACACACAGCCCCCTCGCACTCACCACCCCACACACCACCCCACACACCACACACACCCCCTCTCACCCCGAGTCCTCCGACCCGGCAGCCACATTATCAATGTAATCGTTGCTGTTGGGGTTGGCTATCCCAGTCCTCAGTCACTCACTCACTCTCTCATTCACTCATTCACCCACCCTCTTACCCACTCATCCCGAGTCCTCCGACCCGGCAGCGACATTATCAATGCAGTCATTGTTGGGGCTGGCCCTCCAGAACGTGCTGAGATGCCTATACCACCACACCACACCACACCACACCACACCACACCACACCACACCACACCACACCACACCACACCAGACCACTCACCCCGGGTCCTCAAACCCTGCTGCTCCCGTCTCCACACACACATACCCCACCCACTCACCCCGAATCCTCCGACCCAGCAGCCACGTTATCAATGCAGTCGTTGTTGGGGTTGGCTATCCCAGTCCTCAGTCAGTCACTCATTCACCCACCCTCCCACCCACCCACTCACCCTGAATCCTCCGACCCTGTTGCTCCAATCCAAGCACCACGCACAACCTCACTCACCCTGAGTCCTCCGACCCAGCAGCCGCGTTATCAATGTAGTCGTTGTTGGGGTTGGCCATCCAAAACGTGCTCCCTGCTACATGCACCATCACACACCACCCACTCACTCCCCACTCACCCCGAATCCTCCGACCCGGCAGCGACATTATCAATGTAGTCGTTGTTGGGATTGGCCCTCCAGAACGTACCCTGCTGCTTCCAGAACCACCACACACACACCCACCCACCCACTCACCCCGAGTCTTCTGAGCCAGCAGCCACGTTATCAATGTAGTCGTTGTTGGGGTTGGCCATCCAAAACGTGCTCGGCTTGTCGTCCGTGTGCTTATCATATGACTCTTTAGAGGGGATAACCACCTTCACTGCAGGAAGGGAAAGAGCACAAGGAATTATGCAATGGCAATCAGCAAGCGGAAGGGACAAGCAGGCAAAGCGTGGGAAGCAGGGGACAGCCTTAGTGACCGTTGACACGACATGTTCTGTACATGCATTCTCATGCCCTCTCATGCCCCCTCTCTCACCTTAGACCCTCTCATTCCATCTCATGCCCTCTCAGACTTTTTATTTCATCTACTCCCACCAGTTCCTCTCCCCATTATTCCACCTTACATACACCCCCCCAACGCAACAAACACTCACCTTTTTTCACGCTGATCCCAAGATTCCTCCGTAACACATCATTATTCTCCGACCCTTCCTCCACCAGTGCCCCTTGGCCTCTCAGCAGAGGCAGGTCCTGAGCCCCACCCTCCCAACAAACCAACAACCCCACCTTCCCACAAGGTTCCACGCACCTTTCCGCACGCTGATACCAAGGTTCCTCTTGAATACATTATTGTTCTCCGACCCTTCCTCCACCAGGAAGCAGTGCCCCTTGCTCTCATATGTCACCGTGTCTTCAATCGTCATGTTGCTCGTGGCGTGGATGACCACACAGCGCTGCCAAGGGTTGAAATGGTACAGAGAGGGGTTTGAGTGGATTGGGGTTGGTGCATGGCCAGGTCACCTTGCTCTCGAACGTCACCGTGTCTTCAATCGTCATGTTGCTTGTGGCATGGATCACCACACAGCGCTGCACGGGGTACACAGGGGGTTTGGATCGGTTAAAATGGTTATAGAGGGGAGTGGAATGGTAATAAGCAGTGCCCCTTGCTCTCATACGTCACCGTCTCTTCAATCGTCATGTTGCTCGTCGCATGGATAACCACAAAGCGCTGAGGGGGGGGTGTAAATTGAAGAGAGAGGAGTCAAAATGGTAAAGAATGGGGTTTGGATGGAAGCAGGACATTTTGCTGTATTTACGGCGGATATAAAATACGTTACAGTTGATACAAGTAAAGTGCGTTTTTGAACGTCTAAAAAATACACTTATTACCTGAATCCTGCTTGCCGCACCTACCCCTCACCTGCTTGCTATAAACGATCGCATTCTTGCGCACGACATGACTCTGATTCGCCTCCCCACACACATGGAAGTGCAGCGGCAGCAGCAGCATCTGCTGTAGCTGCACTGTACCACCTCAACTGCTTGTTATAAACGATCGCATTCTTGCGCACGACATGAATCTGATTCGCCTCCCCACACACATGGAAGTGCAGCAGGCCCTGCTGTTGCCCCAACCCAACACCCCCTACCGCCCCAGCACGCGGTCAACCCTTGTTACCTGCATTCTTCTTGCCGCTTGCTCTCTGCTCCCCACCTGCTTGCTGTACACGATCGCATTCTTCCGCACGACATGACTCTGATTCGCCTCCCCACACACATGGAAGTGCAGAGGGTAGCGCCCCAGCGCGCCCCAGCGCGCCCCAGCGCGCCCCAGCGCGCCCCAGCACGCCCCAGCGCGCTCCAGCACGCCCCAGCGCGCCCCAGCACGCCCCAACACGCCCCAGCGCGCGCGCGGTCAAAACATAAGTTGTTACTGTGCTTATTCATTTTACTATGCAAAACCATCTCCCGCTTGCTGCTTTGCTGCCCACCTGCTTATTTGTTACGTTACGCCGTCTCACCTGCTTGCTGCCTGCTCCTCACCTGCTTGCTGCCTGCTCCTCACCTGCTTGCTGTACATAATTGCATTCTTCCGCACGACGTAGCTCTGACTCGCCTCCCCACACACGTGCAAGTGCAGCGGGTTACCGACCCAGCCCAGCACGCGGTCACAACGGAGCTTGTTACCTGCTTACTCATTCTATTCATTCTGCTTTCGCAAAACCTGCACCTGCTTGTTGTTTGCTGCCCACCTGCTTATTTGATAGACTTATGGGACTAGAAACCATCTCACCTGCTTGCTGCCTACTCCTCACCTGCTTGCTATACACGATTGCATTTTTGCGCACGACGTGGCTCTGATTCGCCTCCCCACACACGTGAAAGTGCAGCGGGTACCGCCCCAGCACGCCCTGCTGCCCCATGTAAGAAAGCTGAACTCCTTCGATGAATTGAGGGGTCTGGGTCATGAAGACCATGAAGTGACCTCCTGAGAGGGGTTGAGGGAAGGACGGAGGGGTACAATGTGGTGAGAAGGATTTTTTTGTCTCCACACACATGGAAGTGCAGAGGGTACCGCCCCCCCCCAGCACCCCTAGGTGGGTACCGACCAAGCACGCCCTGCTGTCCCATGTAGGCGAACTGCACCCCCTCTATGAGTTGAGGGGTTTGGGTCGTAAACACCATGAAACGGCTGCCTGAGCGGGGGGTGGGAGGGAGGGACGGAGGGGTGCAGTGCGGTGAGACTGAGCTGTCACACACGTGGAAGTGCAGTGGGTACCGCCCTAGCACGCCCTGCTGTCTCAAGAACACCCCCTACCGCCCCAGCACGCCCTGCTGCCCCATGTAGGAAAACTGAACTCCTTCGATGAACTGAGGTGTTTGGGTCATGTAGGCGAACTGCACCCCCTCTATGAACTGAGGTGTTTGGGTCATGTAGGCGAACTGCACCCCCTCTATGAACTGAGGTGTTTGGGTCATGTAGGCGAACTGCACCCCCTCTATGAACTGAGGTGTTTGGGTCATGTAGGCGAACTGCACCCCCTCTATGAACTGAGGTGTTTGGGTCGTCTACACCATGAAACGGCCGCCTGAGAGGGGTTGGGGGAGGGACGGAAGGGTGCAGTGTGGTGAGAAGAAAGATGTTTTCTGTCTACACGTACACATGGAAATGCAGAGGGTACCGACCCGGCACGCCCTGCTGCCCCATGTAGGCAAACTGCACCCCGTCTATAACCCGGGGAGTTTGATTCATGAAGACAATGAAGTGACCTCCTGAGAGAGGGACGGAGGGGTGCAGTGCGGTGAGAGGAATGAGTTCAAGTAATCTCAAACAGTGGAAGTGCAGCAGGTACCGCCCCCCCCCAGCACGCCCTGCTGTCCCATGTAGGCGAACTGCACTGTTTTGAGATGTCTCAAAACATGTAGGCGAACTGGACCCCTTCCATAAACTGGGGGGTTTGTGTCATGAAGACCATGAAATGGCCTCCTGAGAGAGGGTATTGAGAAGGAAGACAGGAGGAGGAAAGGTACGATTTAGCAGGAGTACCGCCCCAGCAAGTACCGCCCCAGCAAGTACCGCCCCAGCATCTCCTGCTGCATGTTCACAAACTCCCCCACATAGAGTTTTGAGTCGACTCAAAACGCATCTCCTGCTGCATGTTCCAGAACTCCCCCCCATAGATCACAACATTCCGGTGCAGCAGCGCAGCCCCACCTCCCCCCTCACCTCCACTCAGCCGCCCCTCTGAACCCCCTCTCCCTGTCACTATGAACAATCACACTTCATTACAATCACTCGTACCTTCCAGCTCGTATTTCCCCGTCTCATGCACCCCGTAGATCACCACGTTCCGATGCAGCAGCGCCACCTCCCCACCCCACGTCCCCCAGCCAGTCACACTTGACTTCCTACAATCACTCGTACCTTCCAGCTCGTATTTCCCCGTCTCATGGACCCCGTAGATCACGATGTTCCGGTGCAGCAGCGCCACCTCCCCTCTCACGTCCACCGCCCCTCCAAACCCATCCGACACGGCCTTGGGATTGCCGCCATGGGAATGCTTCAATGGGGCTGTGAGGGATATGCGGTAGCCCTGGTGGTGGGGCGAAACTGGGGGAGTAAGAGGAGGGAAGGAAAGAGAAGGAAGGGTATGAATGAGAAGAGAGACTGATACGGCATGGCCTTGGGATTGACGCCATGGGAATGCTTCAATGGGGCTGTGAGGGATATGCAGTAGCCCTGTGGGTGGGGCGAAACTGGGGGGGAAGAAGGCGGGAGCGGGAGGGCAGAGAAGGGAAGGGAGGAGGGGCATGAAACCTGCCCTGCAGGGCCTTGGCATTGCCGTCGTGGGAGCACTTTAATGGGGTGGTGAGTGAACGCACTCTTTCCGCTACTGAAATACTGTGTCGTGTTTTCCACTCGCCCACACCTCACTGAACCGCATCAAACTGCTCCAATCCGAATGGAATCGCACTCCACTCATACTCACCTCCTGCAATCACTGCTTTTTCGGCCTCATCCATCTTAGCACTCGTAGACGCAATCGCAATCTCGCCGCCCACCGGCCACGTGCTGACGTCAGCTTCCACCACGATCTCCGTCTGGCCGGCGATCGCCGTCTTATTCAAGCGCACCCACACCGGCATGGAGGGCGGGCCTGGGAGGCCGTGTAGGTCCACCTGCCCTCCCACCTTGATGCGGGGGATTTGGGAAGAAGAGGGAAGGGGGGAAGGGGGAGTGTAGAGGGACAGGAGGAGGAGAAGGGGGCGAGGAGGAGGGAAGGGGGAAGAGGGGAGGGTTAGGGGGGAGGAAAGAGCTACATGGATCGAAACGAAGGGCCGTTATTGAAGCACAACCACAGTGCAAGTCCACCTGCCCTTCGACCTTGATTATGAGAATGAGAGAAAGGGGACAGGGGAAAGGTAGAGGGGAAGACAGGGGTCAAAGGGGTGAAACAATGTGGTTCTTATGAATTGCACACCCATACTGGCATGGATGGCATGGCAGGCCTTGGAGACACCACCATCAGCACCAGGAGGAGAGAAGCAGAAGGGAGAATGGGGATGCTCTTTGTCGTGGGCAACTTCACCTGCCGTCTCCGACCTTGGTGGGGGAGGAGGAGGAGAGAAGCAGAAGGGAGAATGGGGATGCTCTTTGTCGTGCGCCGTGCGCCGTGGTGAGTGGTGCTGTGAATGCGCATGCTGGTTGAGGGACGACCCCACCCACCCGCGTGTAGTGAGTCGGTTTTTGAGTCGACTCAAAAACCTACTCACTACACGCATGCTGGTTGATGGACGACCCCACCCACCCACTCACAGCACCACTCACCACGGCAAGTTCACCTGCCGTCTCCGACCTTGGTGGGGGAGGAGGAGAGAAGCAGAAGGGAGAATGTGAAGGCCTAGGAAAGGCGGGTTCGGCCGGAGGGGAGAGTGTGAAGGCATACTCCCTCCTCCACCTCCCACCCACTGGGGGCGTTGAGGTGACTTAACACATATTCGCATTACTTACTCACCACGGCAGCAAACACCTTGTGTCCCAAGTGATAGAATTGGAACTGAACTGATTGCTTGATAAGGAAGGCACTAGGCCTTAAGTACAAACATGGTTGGGTTGAGCAAAGCTAGGGAAAGGATGGGATGGGAATCCTAGCAAATCTCCAATTGGTGAGTTGGCAGATTTGCAGGATTACGAGGGAATCCCGACCAGATAGGGTTGGGATTACAAATCTACACCCAACCTACAAAGTAACCTAACCGATATAGAATATAGTACAAAGTGTTGACTAACTATTTCTAACACCAAGGGCCTGGGAAAGGCAGGTTCGACCGGGGGGAAGAGTGTGAAGCCATACTCTCTCCTCTGCCTCCCACCCACTGAAGGTGCTGGGGCAAGGCGACTCAGCAGCAGATGCATGCATGCATGTTAAAATGCCCCATTCACAGCACCACCACTCACCACTACTCACCACGGCAAACACCTTGTGGCCCAGAGGCCTGGGAAAGGCGGGTTCGGCCGGGGGGTAGAGCGTGAAGGCGTACTCTCTCCTCTGCCGCCCGCTGTTGGGCGTGAGCGTGAAAAGTGCCTGGGCGGCAAACTGCTTGTCCTTTTCCCCCACCGTCAGCCGCCCGGTGACTATAATGAAGTTGGCGCGAACCTCGATTCGCGGCAGTCTTGACTTGTCGTCTAGAAGCCTGATGGATGGAGGGAGGAGGGTAAGTAAGATGCGACGTGACTATAACGAATAAAGGGATTGTAACAAGAGTACCATAATGAAGATGGTGCAGATTTCGAAGCGTGGCTTGTCGTCTAGGAGCCTGATGGAGGGAGAGAGGCGATGAGGGTAAGATGTGGTGTGACTATAACGAATGAAGTGGACTGTAAAAAGGTGTACTGTAATGAAGTTGACGCGGATCTTGATTCATGGCGGGCGTGGCTTGTCGTCCAAAAGACTGGTAGAGAGAGGGAGGTGATGGAGGCGAGATGTGACTATAACAAAGGAGAGCGAGGATCTGTATAGTTGTGGATGGTGTACCACTTCCTTACTAGGTCAACGCTATAATAATTGACTAAATCAACCTTTTAACCAAGAAGATAAAAATCGGTTAACCGCACTTATCGTTTTTGTAGCCTTTGAACGAGCTGATGAACTCATGAACGTTTTTTACAGAAAAACATGTCGATAGATGCATCTTCGATTGGCAAATGCCTGTTAGTAGGTTACAAGGTCTTAATCCAGCTTTTATGCTTCTCTAACGAAGAGAAAGGGAATGATGATGAGGGGGGCCCGGAACGCACTTAGCCATCCGTGCACGTGCACGTGCATGCAGCGTGTGACTTCTATTCTACCCCAGCGAAAGAAGGATCAGCACCACCACACCACCAACAAACTTTCGTTTCCTAGCAGTACTCACTTGAGCCATCCATCCGTGCACGTGCAGCGTATCGAGGGTCACATTAGCCACATCCAGCAACACAGCCATGCCGCACGGCACAGTGGCAACATTACAGTACAGGGCACGGCACGGAAACAGCGCCAGCAGCACAAGCCATTTTCTCCCTTGCAACTCACTTGAGCCATCCGTGCACGTGTAGAGTATCGAGGGTCACATTAGCCACGTCCAGCAGCACAGCCATGCCACAAGCAGCACCAGCAGCACCACCACTAACACACTCTCTCTCCCAGAACTCACTTCAACCATCCGTGTACATGCAGAGTGTCGAGAGTCACATTCGCAACGTCCAGCAAGACAGCCATGCCACAGGGTATAGTCACGTTCCCCCCTGCTCTTGACCGCACCCCTGGGGGGTCCCTGCTGCTCTTGAAAGCCGCCCCCCATACAGTCACATTGCTCCACCTATTCCACCCTGGTGTGTACGGGGGAGAAGTGAGGGAGGGTTGGGAGTAACAGCAGATCACAGCACAGCACAGTGCGGAAAGTCATGCCACAGGGCACTGTCACGTCACGTCAGGATGGAGTGAATGGAGCAATGTGACGTGTACAGCGGAAAGTCATGCCACAGGGCACTGTCGCGTCACGTTCCCTCCTGCCCTTGACCGCACCTGAAAGCTGCCCCTCATACAGTCACATCGCTCCATTCACTCCATCCTGGCGTGATTTTAAAAAGGGGAGAGGGGAGAAAGAGCGTTGGGAGGCCCAGTCACATTCCCTCCCTCCTGCTCTTGACCGCACCCCAGGGGGGTCCCTGCTGCCCCTGTAGACCCCCCATACAATCACATCGCTCCACCTACTCCAACCTGATTGGTGTGATTGTAGCGAGGGGAAGGTGAGGAGGGAGGGACGGGAGGGGAGGGGAGGGGAGTGAGGGACGAGAAGAAAAGGGATGATAAAGGGGAGAGGGGGAGAGACGGAGAGGGGAAGGGGAGAAAGCGGAGAGCAGGGGACGGGGAGAAGCAGCACTCACTACGTACCTCCGCTCATGGGCGGAGGCTGCTTGCGCTCATGGGCGGAACGTACCTCCGGGGGGTCCGCTCATGGGCGGAAGCGGGCACGACGGGCGGAACTGTTGAGCTGGCACTGAACCTGCAGAAGATGTTCGTCGCGCTCTGCAGGGACGCGGAATTCTGCCGAAGCGGAAAATTGCAGAGGATAGCGCGGAGCTCTGCACTGCAGCAGATGCACTTCGCAGAAGCGGAAATCAAAGTTCCGCTGCAGAGGGGTCACGCCTGCAGAAAGTGACGCTGCAGAGAAGGGCGCATCTGCAGAGAGTTCGGGCCTGCAGAGGAGGGCGCATCTGCAGAAGCGGATTTCTGCAGAGGAGCGAAGCCTTCTACCAGCGAACCCCTCCGACGCAAAAGTGCGATCGTTTCGTAACTTTTGTGGAGGAATTTCGGAATTTCGGGACATTGAGAAATTGACCCCGCGGAACAGTGCGTGAAACTGGGGTTACAATCTGGGGCCGAATTGAACCACCTGAGCAAACTGAGCCTGGCGCACGTTTTCGTAACTACGAAAACGTGCGTTACAGAAGTTGTTTAAAACAACCTGAACAGTTAAAATAACTACTTTTAGGTAGGTAAAAATTACCAACTAAGCATGTGTTGTAATTTTCACCTGCCGATGCTGACTTGGCAAAGCGCAGCTAAGTAGTAGTTATCTAAACGTTCTAGGTGAGAACGTTCTCTTGTTAGGTTCAGTGGTTGGGTAGTTCTTTACCCCCTTGTATTCTATCTTTCATTCTATTCTAGTGAATTTTCTGTGTGTGCCAAATCTATGCCTTTCTCAACACTTAGCCAATTTTCTCCTTAGTGAACAACACAGTTTGCGTGGCTGCAGAGAAGCATTTCGTAGAGCTCCAACTCCCGTTAGAGCAGAAATCTCTGCATGGTGCGGTGAGCGTGGATCGAACACGCATAGAGCCCGTTCTTCTACGTTAGGTCTCATTGAACTTAGCTCGTCGACATGGAGGATACTGAGGATATCCTTGAGGGAATCGACAGTCTAAGTGAGCGGGAGGCTGCGGTGCTTGCTCGTCATGAAGGTGGAAACCTCACCGAGCAGGAGCTCAACTTCATGCTGTTGGGAGTACGAGCTCAATGGGAGATGGAACATCCACCGACTCGTGCAGAGGGAGACGAGGAATCGCAGACTTTTGGAGACGGCGAGAACGCTGAAGAACCGGCAGAAGGCGGAATGCAGGAGCCACGAGGTGTTCTAGGACAAGGAGAACCGATGAGCCCTGGAGAAGGCTCGCAGCAGAAGGCGGATGCAAGTCCGAAGAAGGCGGCTGGCAAAGGACGCTTGAGCGGTCTAGGATCTGCAGTGAAGACTGGTGGAAGCTCGGCGGTTTCTCACCCATCGGCATCGAAAGACGGCGGAATTGCTCCTGATTACGGATACTTCAAATTTTCTCCCGACAAGATCACGGTGCCGAAGCTTCTGGAAGGACGTCATGACTTGAAATCGCGCAGCTGAAGCAGTTCATCGACGGCTCGATCAAGGTTCCACGGCTGAGCGACATTTCGCAGTATACACAATTTCGCTCGGCGCAACTTCTGACCTTTATGGTGATATCGCGCTGCTGCTCTCCATCCGTGAAGATCGCCTTGAAGTCATGTCGTCTACGAGTGGACGCGGGCTACCAGGCGTGGCGCTTCATCATGGAGACCTACAAAGCAACGGACTATCTCTATATCGGCCAGCTGGAGAGGAGCTTGGCGACGCTAGAGATGGCGGAGCATGAGACGGCGACGAACTACTGCAATCGTGCGCAGATGATTCTCGCTAATCTGCGAATGGCTGGCGTCAACTATTCGATGGCTTCGTATGTGACTCATGTCCTTACAGGTCTTCCCGCGGAGTACAAGTACCTTCGACGAACGCTACAATCTCCGGAAAACTGCAAGACTCTCGACGAAAACACTTTGACGAGCAGAATTATCGCAGAGGAGTGCACGCTCGAGCTCGAAAAGCGGAAGGAATCACCTCTGCCACAGGTCAACTGGGCGTGGACGGGACAGCAGCAGCAGCAGCAGCAGCAGCAGCAGCAGCAGCAACAGAAGCGTTGGTCTTCTTCGACAACTGGCGGTTCTACGGAGCAGAAGTCGTCGAACAAGGAGCAGCAGAAGAAAGATGGTCGACAGCAGAACAACAAACGGAGCTCGAAGAAACCTTGCTGGGTCTGCGGAGAAGTCGGTTACTTTGCGTTCCAGTGCGAACAACGTGCCGACAAGAAGAACAATGCTTCCGCGCAGAAGGAGAGTTCTTCGAAGTCGGGAGCGCAGAGCGACAACTCCAATTCGACCAACAAAAAGGGACCTTCTTGTTCAATGGTGGGACCAGTTGTGGACCAGCTGCAGACGACTGATCTGCTCATTTCGCTGAATGCGGAAGATGGTGAGGACTTTCAGGCGATTGCTGCAGCCGTCGAGGCCGATCCTGCAGTTGTTCTTCTCGACAGTGGCTGCTCACATCATCTGATGGGCGACGATGCAGCCTTTGTCGAAATGCATGAAGGCGGGGACATTAAACATGTTCGCGGATTCAACGGGGCATTCCAAGACGTGTGTGGTCGCGGAACAATCGCTCTACGCGGTGAAGCTGGGAAGCAGATTCTGATTCCTGATGTGCTCTACGTGCCTGGAATCCATGCGAATCTGTTGTCTGCTGGGCAGCTGAAGGATTGTGGGGTAAAGTTGAAGGATGAAGGTGAAGAGACCCTCCTTCTCTCTACTGATGGGAGAGTCCTTGGACGCGCTCGTTATCGAGGACGAGTGCTCAGCACAGATCTCCAGGTGTGGCCGCTGCAGAAATCGGCAGAGGAGGCGATTGCTCTGCGGACCTTGGCGACGGATACACGGGCGAAGATGGTCATGTGGCATCCTCGACTTGCTCATGCGGGCGTCGAAACAATCAAGCAGACGGCGACGCATGGTGCAGCGACAGGCTTGGATATTGACAAGTCGGCCAACCCTGATCTACCGTGTGTCTCTTGTGTGGGGGGAAAGCTCGGCATAGTTTCCCTCAAGAGGGGAGCGAAGAGCAGAAGGTGCTGGGAGTAGTGCACATCGATCTCTGCGGGCCCTTCCGAGTTCCTGCGAAAGATGGCAGCCGCTACTTTCTTCTGCTCAAGGATCGAAAATCTCGCTACGTCTGGCTCTACCCGATTGCGCAGAAAAGCGATGCTCTGCGCGTTTTCCAGAAGTGGCTTCCGCGTGCAGAGAGGCAATGTGAGGCTTCGCTGAAGGCTCTCCGCTCCGATCGAGGTGGCGAATTTTTGGGACATAAATTCGCCGAGTTCCTCAAAGAGAAGGGGATTGAGCACGACCTCACCTGCCCCTATACGCCGCAACAAAACGGGATGGCAGATGAAATGCGGACTGTCGTCGAAGCAGTTAGGACGATGCTTCTGCACATGGGAGCCCCCCACCATTGGTGGCACCTTGCAGCTCTGCAAGCTGTTTGGGTGAGGAATCGTCTGGAACATTCCTCTCTGCCATCAGGGGTGACTCCTTATGAAGTGCTCTTCGGAAAGAAGCCTGACCTTAGGATGGCTCGAGTTTGGGGGTGTATGCTGCAGTACCTCATTCCAGAGAGTCAGCGGGGGGGGGAAGTTGGAGCCGAAAGCTCGTTGGGGTCTCCACCTGGGTGTCTCGCAGCAGAGTAAGGGGTGGTTGGTCCTCGATTTGTCGAGCAACCGTTTGATCACCACGGTCGAGGCCATCTTCTACGAGACAATGTCTCTTGCAGAGTGGAAGGCGACGAAGCAGAGTCCCACCGTCGACCGTGCTGCGCTCGACAATGTGGCATCCTTCCCGTCGGATTCTGCGGATGATGACGACGATGATGACGAAGAGACTAGGGCACCAGCCCCTCTGCTCGTGCCTACGCCGATTCCTCGACCGCAGCTGCCTCCTGACAACCCTCCAGTGCAACTCTCGCCGTTGCCAGAGCCTCCTCCTGCAGAAGACACTTCTCCTGCAGATGACGCTCCTTCCGAGGAGCAGGTTCCTTCTGCAGAAGACATTCGCTCTGACTCTTCTTCGACCAGGGAGCAGCTGTCGACTGCCTCTTCTTCGACGTTCTTTCCTTCGACTGAAAAATTGGTGCCATTGTCGACGCTCCTTGGCGAAGAGGGGAGCAAATTGCCGATGAATGTCGTCGCCAATGAGCGTCGAGAAGTCGAACAGCCTGCAGACGAAAAGTCCGCTGAAGAGCGATCCGCAGAAGAGCAATCGGCAGAAGATCGATCTGCAGACGAGCTGCCTGCAGAAGAAAATGTCGAAGAAGAGATGCCTGAGTTAGAAGAGATTGCAGCAGAAGAGCAACCTGCAGAAGAAGGACCGGCAGACGAAAATGTTCAGGTTTCTCGCTACGGTCGAAAGATTCAGAAGCCGATCCGATTCC